ATTGTCATATCAAAATATAAAAAATATATATATATAAAATATATTAGAGATAAATAATTCATTACATAAATTAAAAAAAAGAGTTTAAGAAAAAAATATATTTATCATAATGTTACAAATGCTTTTATTTTTTCAAAGATATATTGATTTTAATTAAATGAAAAAAAAGAAAGCTAAATTTTATGGAAAAGATATTAAACAATTATTTAGAAAAAAGTTTAAAACAGTTATGGAACTTTTTAATAAATTCTATTTATATAATGAATAATAAAACGTTTTTAAAAAAATTCTTGATATATTGATGATAAGTTTCATTATACACAAAAAAAAAAAAAAAATAAAATAAAATAAAATAAAAAAATTTCTTAAAAGTAAAAGTTTGAATAAAACTTAAAAGATGAAAATGTTTTTATTATAAGAACAAATTTTTTTCAACATTAAAAAAATTCTATATGCAAATAACAAATATTGAATATTATTCAATATACTATTTAGAATAATATATAAATATTATTAAATAATCAATAATAATAAATAATTATCATATTTATCAATCAATTCCTATGAATTTAGCTTTTAAAATACACATATGCCTCTAAAAATTAATAATTATTCTAGACCAATAATATTATTAACTTCATTTACTATCTAAGTATATTTCCATATAAGTATTTTATCGGCAACAATGAAAATCAGAATACAACAAAATAATATACATTACATACATTATTTTATCTTATTTAAAAAAATATTTTTTTTTCACATTTTTTACAATCAATGAAGAAAGTGAAATTGAAAAAAAGACTGCAAATAATTGTCAGAATACTAACATATTCTCTTGTTCAAGAGAAAAATTAAAACATATTAATTATTTATAATTTTGATTTTACGACTATTAATTGAGCACTATTATACATAATTTGGAGTAGAATTAAAAAAAAAAAAACAAAAAGAAACTCTTTATTTCAATTAATATCTGTTTAGAATTATTATATTATATTATAACAAACTCATAAATTAATAAAATCAAATTAAAATAAACTCATGTTTAAAATTAAATTAATATCAAATAAGTTATGGATTCGAGTGTATAATATACTTACATGAGAGTTCCATTAATTACACGTAAATTAACAGCCATTGTTTTGATTTCCTTGCAGATCTCTCGAGAAAGGGAGAAAACAACGATTAAAGTTTTCTTTACCATGAGACAGTTAATTGCAGGATTGCTCATTGTTGTTCGCTATTTGCGAGTCTAGCCGATATGGGATTTCAACGTAACTAATAGGAGAGACCTTCCTTCGAGTTTTGGAACAATTCGGCCGCGAACAATTAATTAGTTCTTCTCTGTCCTTTGCAGTATAGGTTTGTATAATCGCCATAAATACCGGAAATTTCTCGACGTCAGTGCAGTCGATAAATCATATCGAAAGATATATATAATATGTCTGGAAAATTACAGGATTAATTTTTTCTTCAAATTTTTCTGAAAATAATATCTATCAATTAAAACTATTTTCAATTTTAAAAATAATATAAATTCATTTTGTGAATTATTATTATATGTTATAAGCATATTTACAATTATATTTATTATTTCAATTAATTATCGCGTTATCAATTAAAATTATCAATTATAATAAAGAATTAGAATTTTAATTAATTATTTTAATTAATTTTAATTAATTTTTTGAGTTTTGATTTTAAGAAACTTAAGAATTTATGTATCGTCAAGCAAAATATGAATATATTATTTTATTTCACATAAATCATTATTTATATTTCTCATTCGTTTTTCACAAGCCAATGAAGCAAACGAAATCGAGAAAATATATCAAAAATTTTTAAAATACCTCATTCCCTAAATAATTGATGTATTCTGATCTAAATTTTGTGATGTTTAATGATGCATATATTATATTAAGAGCAATATAAAAATCTTATCCTTCACAGGTTTTTCAATGATAAAAGTACTTATAATTACAAATACTTATAGAAACATCACAAATATTTTTAAATATTATAATTACAAGCATATTTTTTAAACTTTTGATTATTAATAATTATGCAATTATTTCAATGTAAAATAGATTTTCAAATTTTCAATGCTTTTTAAAAATAGAGAAAAATTTTAAATTATAAAATGTTTAGAATTTATAAAAAAAAAATTTTAAAAGCAAAGAAAAAAATTAAAGATTAATATTAATATTAGATATTATTAAGATTTGTAAAAATTTATCATAAAGAAGAAATATTTATCATCAGTGAACAAATTAATTATTAGATTAAGTTATTTTAAAAATTTTAAAAAGTATTATTAAAAGTATTATTAAAAAGTATATAAAAGTATATAAATAATAATTCAAAAAATAAAAATTGAAATAATGAACATTTTTTTTTCAAATTTTTTAAAAATATTATGATAAATTATTCAATAATTTTCAAATCAACATAAATTTGTAATTTTATAAATTTTTTATAAAAAAATTAGTTATTAGTTATCTTATAATATCAAAAATATTATATTAATGAAAATGTATTTATATATAATACTTACAAGAAAAATCAAAAAGATCAATTATTATTAAAGAAAATAAATAAAAAACTGTTTTTCTCAAAATATTAATTAATAGATTTGCATTATTTTTGAAACGTGGCTTTAATTGTTTGAGACATTTTGTAAATTATATGCATTATTTCATAACAATTTTTTATAAGAAGAAAACATATATATACCACATAAGTAAAAGTGCTATTATAGCTCGTTGTTCATAAATTCGCTTCTACAATATGATTTATTTATTAATTAATTAAACATATAGAAATACATAACATATATTAACTGGAACATAGTTATTTGTTATTAAGTTCAAATAAATTAATTTGCGAAAAAAATTAAAGTTTTTCAAGAAATAAGTATTTGTTTTAAATTAAATTTCATTTAAAATATATTTAATGAAAAGTATATAGAATCGATATTTACAAATAAATTTATTTGATCTTTTTACGCTTTCAAATACGTATGTATAATTTTGAAATTTCCGAAACTATATATATCTATAATTATATATATCGATTCTTCATAATGAAGAGTAATATCATAAAAGTTCTAACAAGAAAAGTTTTAATGCCATTTTTCTTGCAAAAATTAAATTTTTGAAGCGAATTTTAGTTATTAGGAATTAAAGTTATAATTTGCAATCGTTATTTTTTAAATTAGTAGGCTTATCTGGATTTTTTATAAATTAAAAAAAAATAAAGAATATAAGTTTTAAAATTTATTTTTTAACATTTCAAATTGTTTATAGAACTATTGTTTTTTGATAATACAATTCATGTGCATTGTACATATAATTGATATTCCATGAATTAATGTGAAATTAAATAAATTTATTTATTATATCATAATATACAATAACTCATAAAAATATTTAAATACTTTTATTACTTAATTTTAGAAAGAAATTCATGTAACTTTGTATAAAATATAATATTATATATAATATAAAATAATTTTTTTTGTTGATAGAAAATTTTTTTTAGAAGATAAATTCAATTGTTTCAGCATTTCTTTAAATTGAAAATATTTTGCTTAGGAAATTTAAAAATTTTTTTTTATAAATTCTAAACATTTTATAATTTAAAATTTGTTTCTATTATATTTTTAAAAAATGCATTGAAAGTTTGAAAATCTATTTTATTTTTTTAAAATGATATTTCGAAAAAAAATTGCTTCATAATAACCAATCAATTTTACAATTACAAAATTTCATTTCAAAAATAAAAAAGTATTCATATATTTTCATAAATCATTGTATTTTGAATAAATGAATGATTTTAATGAATATTATATTATTTAATTATATTATATCTTTGAGTTTATATACCTTATTACTTTTCAGATACTATATAAAATGTATTTTGTAATTTCATTCAAAAATTGCCTTTTAAATTTTAAATTTAAATTCTATTTTATATTATAAATCTGGTATTTTAACAATCTATAAAAACGCAAAACGAATTCCTAAACGTAGAGGGAGTGAAACTATTCGTTTGGTCGCGAGATTGATTTTCAGAGCGACACTGGAAAATTAGATTTTTCTTTGGCGTTTATTTGACGTGTAAATTGCGAAATTCGCTTGAGATGCCGGAATCCAGCCAGTAATGCGAATCGTTAAATTTCTGATGTTTAAAGGTCGATGTACTCAATTATCTTTGTATATCAACTATACATATCTATAGGCAAATCGCTATATTAATTTTTGCTAGAATATTTGATATTTGAATATATGATATTCAAAGTAGTGGTATAATTCAAAATCCAAATTTCGGTATCTAAATATCCAAAAGATCGGAATTCTGAAAAAAATAAATTTAAATAAATTTAAATAAAATAATCGATGAAAAGGATAAATAATAATACATTATATAGTTATAATAAATATTTTACAAGCAAATATTTTATTGCAGAAGATTTAGGATCAAAGCTATTATTCAACAAAAATATTGACTCTTACTTTTAAATAGCAAACATAAAAGAATGAATGATATATCATTTGAAATATATCGATGAGATACTATTGATGCAATGATAAAATTTTTCTATTTTTTTTTAATGATATTTCTACTAATATATTCGTGAGATTATTCTGTTTAAGTGGCGATCGAAATCAATAATTTATATAATTGTCTTAGACTATCACATTTCCTTCCTATTGTTGCGAAGTTATTTCTAGTAATTCTTGGAATTCAAACTTCAATTTTTGAGTTCATGCTTTTAAAATCTTTATTCTAATCATCTAATCATAAAATTCTAATCATCATTTTGAACGATATACATGATAGTTTTAAAAGTATTTACAAAATACTTGTAACTTAAAAAAAAAAAGAATTTACAAAAAATTTTCAGAACATATTTTCTTTTCTTTATAATTGTCAATCCTAATCTTATAACAATTATCCACTATTATACTACTATATTTTTTATTTATTTAATAAATAAAAAAAATTATTATTCTTTCTCGAATTCATTAAACATGCAAATATAACCTAAAAAATTTTATTATGAAAATAAATCTTTTGCAATTATAAAATATTATATTTATATTAAATATTATATATATATATTAAAATAATAAGTTTTTATTTTAATATAAGAAAACAAATATATAATTACATTTTTTGATAAGCACAAACATAATCATTTAACAGATGTAATATAATTAATTAATTTATCTATTTGTTTATCTATTTTCTTGCAACATAATGGATAACTTTTGATATACAGAGGAAAATTAACACGAGATACTATTATGTATAAACTTGGTTTAACCTATCATTTAAAAAGAAGTTAATTAACGACATATACGTTCTCTTAAATATATTACTCCTCTTGAATTGTGCCACAATGCTTTACATTAGAGTTTTCATAGTTTCCACACATAAATTTTTTTGTTTCAAAGCAGCAATATCAAAGCTTACTGAAACAAATTATATTTTCTTTAATAAAAAACAAAAAGGAAAAAAAAAGAAAAAAAAAAGTCTTTTTACTTAAAATCTTATACAACATATCATTATATATAAAGATGAATGATTTTCGTAAAAAAATCCGTAAATAGCAATTTTTCATGATAATTCGTAATAGTAATGATCTATATTAGTTACAGACAAAATTTAAACTAAAATAATTTTTATTTTGACTAAAACCACAATACAACAGCAAAAATATTATAAATTAATAATATATTATAATAAATTAATATTATAAATTACATTTTGTATACTGAGTTAGAAAAATATTTTTATATTAAAATATAATATATAATATAAATATAATATTAAT